ATTTTTAGTGACAATCTTTTATACATAGAAAATTGATCAAATAAAAGTAATGTAAAATTGGTTTAGGTGGGGTATTGTGAGACACCGGCTGAAAGGAAACGTAGCAAAGATGGAGAAGACATTATGTAACACTCAGACAAGCTTTCAAGGGCCATTACAAACCACTTACTGTATTCATACCATGAAATATTTAGGCAGCACTTTTCCCRGTGAGCACATTCTCAAATCAAGCAAACACACCAACATATGGTGAAATGACAAACCGTCAGRAAAAAAAAGAACTTTGAAGCTAAAACAGACTATAGTTGAGCGCATAATAAAAGTACTGCGTTGTTAAATAATTTGCAGTTTTCTTGTTTTATGTCACCCCATTTGAGGACACAAGGGGTWGTTTCTGTTTGAAAATTGAAGATTTTCTGCCGTTTTTATTTTTTTTAAACTACCATCCTGTAATCCTGACTGCATGAGTCTGAAAGCTTCCTTCCTGTCGGGGAAATGACACTAATGGCCGACTCTTGTCTCGCCACTCCAGCCCTCCATCACAGCTGTCTAATGAGAGCTGCTAATGATGGATGCGTTCAGTTATATCTGCTGCAAGCAACTGTGCAAAATCAGTCCTGAGGAAATTCACTTTTTGGTTTATCCTGATATTGACTGAAAGGATTTTGTTGGCCAATTTCCTACTAGGATATCTGTTTCTCATCTCCAGTTGTTCTCAGTATTCTCAAACATTTTGAATTTTGAAATGTGGACCAAGTAGGCCTGTAGACTGTATACAGTATTAACACTGTTGAGCCAGTCGGCTGGTTCTTTGGTCAGAATTAGTTTCTCTCAATMGGTGTAAAATGGCAACAAAGTGGAAATACTAATTGTTTTTAAAAGGTAGAAAACTAAGGAGGGATTTTGAAGTTAGCATGCTAACAGCAGATGAAAGCATTCCAACATGCTAACAGGATTTTTTTAAGGGTAACATTCTGACAAGAGATTTAAAAGGTAGCATATTAACAGTGGATGCTAACAGGGGATTTAAAATTTAGCATACTAACAGTGACTGGTAACATGCCAACATGCAAGATGTTTTTAAAAAGTAGCAGGTGATTTAAAGTACCCGTGACATGCATTTTTTGTAATGAATACACAAATGCATTTTTGGAAAGATAACATTGATAAAATATTGTAAAAAAAAAGTTCATGCGGCTGAGATGAACGGTTGTTGAGATTTTCATGGGTGAAGTAACAGGAAGTGATGACAAAGGGAAATATCTGAAACAACAGAACTACAATGGCTGACAAGAAGAATCCAATGTTTCTTTAGATTATTTAAATCACTACCAGAGAGAGACGACAAATCAGAGTTCAAATAATATTATTTCAATAAAGAAAGACCAGGAAGTTTTCTTTATTAAAGAGTTCCTCTTTGATGTCACTTCCTGTTTCACTTTGGCTGAGCCAATTAAAAAATATGTACAAATATACCAACTATGTGACAAAATGGGTAAAATCATGTGTAACATGCTAAGTTTCTTAAATATAAAAATGTTTTTTTTTTACATTGTGTATTTAAAGC